TCATTGCATGCTGGCAAAATGTATGCATTTTGCCAAATAAATTTGATTCATTTTAGTTTTTGAGTTTTTACTTCTGTTCACCTCAATTCTTTTGATTTTTGCATTAGACATTGCAAATTATGCGGATTTGGCTGGGTAATTGATTTGCCACTGGTTACTTCATCCTCAGCAATGTGCAGAGGCCTGCAGTTAAGGTCCCAACTTTTGATTGGATTAGTTGATTTTTTTAATTATTTTGATTGGGCTCTGAGGCTTTGTAATTCTGTCTAAAATGATGCAAATTTATTTTGGCAGCTCAGCCACTTGATTTGTCACCAAAGCATCATACTCAGCCATGGCCAGAGACCTGAAAATAAAGTCTTAACAATTGATTAGTGTAATTAAATTAAAATTAGCTATATTTGATTCCAAGACATCAGAATTGTGCGTTAAATTATCTAAATTAGGTTTGTCAGAGCGTTTGTCTGATTCAGCACTGATTTTGTCATTCTCAGCAAAGATCTGAGACCTGTATTTAGGGTCTCAATCATTGATTGGCATAAATAAATGATTTAAATTGATTGTATTGAGTTCTGAGACTATGGAGTTGTGCACAGAATTATTTTTTTTGGTTATGTCAGTTTGGCCCATTGTTTTGTTGCTAATTCCATCATTTCTGGGTGAAATCCAAAAGCTTCAATTAATTGCAGTACTTACCTGCTTATCAAAACTGGTTTTTGCATTTAAATTTAGATCAGCTGATGCTTCAACGATGTCATTGCCACTATCAGTGGCTGGCTCCTGATTCATTGCTTTTGAGATGCATCCAACTTCTGAAATTTCTGAATGTGTTTTTTGGCATTTGTGATTTAATTTGGTATACTTTTTCTTATTGACCATGACGTCAGCCTTCCTCAGATGGCCATGGCGCTAGGTATATAAGGCCTGGCTGTCATCCACCCCAGGTACCATTTCCAGCTGAGTGGGGGTGACAGGAGGCAGGGTGGCACTCGCCTGGGCCATTTGGCGAACCCTGGTTTGAGTTTTGCTGCCCCAGGTTGGTTAAGTGATTTTTGCACCACCAACAGGTAATATTTCTGTTTTTGATTTGTTTATTTTTGCGTTGCTAGCTTATTCATATTGTTGGATAATTGACTCAAGTTTCTCTGAGTCCTCTGAGCTTGCAAACCTATGACTGCATCGTTGGCATATGCCAGAGCCTTCAGTGGTGGCTGCCCATGCATTCTGATGCCTTCCAGCTCTGCCTCTGCAGCCCACAACACTGGGTCAAAAGCCAGGTTGTACAGCAGGGGGCTCAACGGATCCCCTTGCCTCACCCCACATTGAGGTAAGATTTTGGCCAACTGGAATCCAGGGCCTAGGACTGACATGCTTGTCATAGTCATTTGCTTCATTGCCATTCAATGAACATTTTTGGCTGGTGTGCTCTCTCCATGCATTGGTGTAGGTATGACCAGTTCACTCTGTCGTAAGCTTTCTGTTAGTCTAGGAATGCTAATGCTCCACTATAGTCCAACTGAGTGATGTTGGTGACCGTGTGGATGTTGTCCCAGATGCTCCAGGGACAAAACTGTGTTGGTTAGTCGAGAGCATGTTCTTCCCAATGGAACCCAGATGACGTGTAAGGATCTTTGAAAGAAGTTTGGTATCAGAATTAATCAGTGAGATTGGATGCCAGTTATTGAGTGAGTGTGTCACCCTTCTTGTGAAGGAAGACAAGCAGGGCTTATCTCCTCAGGCATCAGCTTGGTCTCATCCAAGCATCTGTTGAGTGCAGTAAGGAGGATGTGGCTGAGGAGGTCTGGGAATGTCAAAATCAGTTTATACGGAATCCCATCAGGTCCTGGACTCTTCCTCAGAGAAGATAATAAGAATTTGATTTACTATCTTATGAAAAGGTACATGTGAAATTTCCTCTGGGCTATTAAGAGGGGGAGGGGTAGCAATCCACGCAGCTCGGCTGGCCTGAAGAACTTACTCCAAGGTAGAGCGGATACTATTTCCAAAATTGGCAAGTGACCAAACAAACAACAAAAAGCAGACTACTGATTGCACGTTCATTTGGTAGAGGTTAACCACTGCAACTCCCACCTCAAAGAGCAGGGCAGAAGTGGCTGGAAACAATGGTTGGTCGATTATGTCATGAAAACAGCAGAAGAAGTTTATATCAGCCTGCAAGTTGGGATGCGTGAACACCCAAAAAGCAATCCAGAATTCCAGAGGCATTGCCACATTCACAACGTTGTATAGAGCCAGGCATTGGGATATGATAAATTGTTGGTGCAGGGTAATAGTGAATAGCAACCTGAGAACAAACCAAATGGAAACCGCCCCAACACTGGAGGTCTAGCTTCAGGGGGTGGTACCACAGTTATGGTTTCTACAAGGTCTCCAATAGATGGGGTTAATTCAACTGGGGAGACAAGGGTGTGTATCCTTGCTTGGAGATGGTGGATATAAGGCACAAGATCCCAGTATATTGTTGGCGAAAGTTTGTAAGGACATGGTTGAATTGCCAGAAGTATCTAGCTCACTGAATCCAGTTTATGACGGTAGGGGCCATTGTGACCATCAATACTGGTAGAGCTCATCTGGTATAAGGACCAATTGGCCACCAGAAAAAGCCATTGGGAATGCGGCCAAAAGGATATCAATAAAATCAAAATTGATAGTTTTGAGGCAAATTTTTATTGTAAAGGAAAGTGAAGAAAATTGACCAACAATTTTCTCAGTGAAATGCAACTGATTAAATAGTGGTTGATTGATGCGGGAACAAGCTGGGATTGAGACCCAATAATTTTGACCTAACTGGCGAATTATTTGGGAATGGGGGCAGATAAGTTCACAAAGAACTAACATCAATGAATCTGATGGTAGGCTAAGTTGCTGTCAGTTTGACCAAAAATTCCTGACTCGAGGCTCAACTGCATTTCTGACAGTTGGCATGATGGCGTTTGGCCTGATGAGCAGCGGGGATATCCCAGGGCCACCCCATGTAGGGGAGGTCCCAATTGGTTGGGAATGGGTTTGCGATGCCCAACCTGCCCATGCCCAGTTGCTGGGTCATTCATTCAGTCACAAGTGTTGTGTCAGCTGCAACGCCTGATTTGCCGGAAGGGAGCTTCAAACCCTCATCAATGGTTAATGCTACTACCTGCACATCAGGGATCATCCCTGAAAATTTTGGGAGGGGGTTAATTTTGATGATTGTGGTGTTGGCAAAATTGAAACCGTCAGCAATTCCACCTGATGAATCAGTCTTTGTCCTTTTTAAACTATGTGGAATCTGATCATCGGGCTTGTTTTCACATGATTTTGGACTGATTGACTTAATTTGGTGATCTCAGCACAAATTTCCCTGATTAGATGTACTACTTCTGCCGAGGTGAGTGTGGGCACTGAGGGAGGGTTCTGAAGAGGGAGGGCTGTTACCCAGCGCTTGTCTACCACGTGGGCGAGGTTGCCCTGGGTAATGAGGGGTACAGCCGCCCTCTTTGGTACCTTCTTACTCGGAAATGGGAAAAGAGCCCAATCAACGCACAGTGGATGATCCCCAGGACTTATAACTAACATACCTTAATCAAGACGTTCCTTAATTTTCATAAATATAACTTCTGATGATTTCAAGCATTTAATCAGGCATAATCAAGTTGGTTTATGGTCTCCAGTATCAATTTTGTGGTCAACTCCCTTACCACATCCCAAGTTGAAATCACCTTTTGCAAATATTTCCCAATATTGTGAAAATAACTCCTGATCTTGGCCTTTCTCAGAGTTGGTCAGGTTACTTAAATCGGCCCTAGGGATAACAATATTAATGATGATTAGGTCCTTATCAGAAAGTACTAATTTACCAAAAGTTGCAACTCATGGAATGATTTAATATCTGTGGTAGGGAACAGTTGCAAAAAAAGCGATTGTTTGATGTTGCTTAATGTAGATGGTCCAATTTTGCAGGTTTGCACACAAGATTTAAATTTCTCCATGGCCAGTAATGATAATATAGGGGCGATTTTTGGCTCAAGTTGATATTTAGACTATGGTTGATATACTTCACTATAAAGTCCTTCCAGGATATTAATTGTCAGTCCAGTTGGGACAATTACTTGATCTCTGGATGATATATAGTAATGTGCTGATTTGACCAAAGTGGGATTCCTTTTGGCTCATTGATCTGTTTGGGTAATAGTTTTATCTTTGATTAAACTTTGACATGCTCAATCAGAACTACTCGATCTTTATAGGCCAGATTTATGAATAGGCTGGGCTTCTTTTTCTCACCTGCCCTACTTTTATTATAGTAAAGTGGGATATCCTGGCCAAGAATGGTGAGAATATTGTCCTTGGATTGGTAACAACTCCATATCTCCTTAGGAAATTAGTCCCAATTAGGATAGCATAGTTTGTATTTGGCAACACTATGACAGGTGCTGTCACTATAATAGATCTGAATCTAAGAGATAGGGTACTGTATGCACCCATCGATTTAGTTGTATGCGCTCCAGCTGTATCATAGTCCTGACAGTGAGCAACATCAGGCGCAATTTTCAACCTTATAACCAATATTGTGCTGACTATATTGATATGGGCACTGCTATCAACGATTGCCCAAACTCACATCTTGTTCATTGCTATGTCCACATAAGTACATTAAGAGTATTTTTCAGAGGTATTTATTGTGTTTATACTGTGATTGCTGCCCAAATCCAGATGTAATTTCAGACTTGAGAAAATATCTGGGAAGTTATCTGCTTAGGTCTTCGTTTGAATGGCTACTTGTACGTTGTTAAGTAAAGGTAGGTCGGTTGAACATCCAAGTTGGAGGTCTAAATCCTTAACAATAATCCGTTTTGCATAAGTTTTTGAAACCTCTGCTCGGGCTTCTTTGGTAACTTTAAAGGGTTTAGTTGCCTTTATTTTGGCTCAAGTAGCAACCATAAGGACATCATTAGCCACAATATGGTGGAGGTTATCTTTGGCAACATCTTTGGACCTAAAGAGCTTGCTTAACTCAGTTGGTTAGATTTTGGTGTTGATAACGCCAAAGTCACAGGTTTGACCCCTTTAGTGAGCACCAGTTGTTCAATTTCAAGGATTTCTCACTTGATAAATTAAATCCTGCATATATATCACTGTGAAGAAGTTTAGCTGAAAGATCCTTAATTTTAGCCAGTGTCTTACGGTTTTACATGTGTTCAGAAGCTCACTAGGCTTTTCTAAAATGATACGACTCTTCTGGTCAATTTTGGGTGAATTTTCCCTTTAAATTTGGGGACTTCTACTGAGGTAGTCAGCAATACAAGCTTGATATTTCTGCCTTAACAGCTTGCTGACATTCTTCAAGATAAGACTCTGATAAAAAATTAGATAAAATGAATTTAAACATATCATTTTTAGATAATACAATTAGATGATTTCCTATTGGGCCAGGTACAGATATTTATACCTCTAGGGCATCTCCTGGACACATATCAAGCATGAAATTTCTGCAGATAATCATTTTCACCTCAGTTCAACCCTTGTACTGATACAATTATGACCTATTTCTAAGACTATTGGTGTCAAAATACTCTCATATTTGGGAAGACTTCAGGGGCAAAAATCGCAATATGAACTTGCAAAATTGTCTTAGGACCAGCCCAATTTGACTTTCGTCATACAGTTGATGAAATAAGACTTCTGGGAAATTCTGCATAAATTTTAATCAAATGACATACTCCTAATTGGGACGTCGGCAGGCCTCTCTTAATAGCACTAGATATTCCATTTGGGCAGTCCATGTGCAAGTGCTATTGTGCCAATTACAAGGATTGACATGCAAAATTTACCATAGGGCGGGAAATTTACTATGACACTATGATGCCAATCTTATTATTCTATCTGTCCATGGGATTTTTAGAAGTTATTTTCAGGATTGATTCCCAGGTAATTTCATAAGATAAATGGTCAATATTACTTTCAATTACTTAGGACCAATTGTCAAGTTTGTTGAATGTATAATTGGCCTGAATTATGAAAGAGAAAGGTTAGAGCTGTCAGTTGGATAATTGGGTCTATTTGACGTTGAGATATTTGGCCCGCATCATATAATAGCAATCACTTTTAGTTAAAATTTAGAGTAATTGGCCCAAGTTTTGGGAGGATAGTTGCCTGATTAGTTGGTTGTTGGAGGGTATATTGGGTCAACCACCAAAATCTGACACATGGTGTGCCGCAGGTCCCTAACTTAATAATAGCAAAGACCTTGGGTTTTTGCAAAATTTTTGTCCTATAGAGTTCAAGATTAAATTATTTTGATAGCTATGGCTGGAAGCATTACATTTATTCCCTTTGCTTTTGTTGGAAGATTATTGCACTCTGAGGCCTTACTTTTATTTTAAAGAACTTATATAGTGTCTATCCCTGAAAATACCCTATCCTCTTGAGGCGCAGATTGCTCACTAATTTGAGCAGGCAAAAGTCTTTTAAAAACTTGATGGCCTCATTGCATTTAATCAGATAAAACAAAAGAAGGTTAAAAATAACTAATTGCATTTTACACTCACTGGGGGTATGCTAGTATATAGTAATGCTTTTGGACTAAAGAATGCACCAGCCTTGTGTTTTTTTCATAATGCTGCAGCGATTGGTGCTATATAGAAATTTGTGACATTGTATACCTTCATAAAAACCTGGTCATCTCCCCAGTTGAGACCACTCATGCCATTCAGCTCAACAAGTCATGCAGTGTTACTTGATTATAGGTCTAACCCTGAGTCCAAGTAAGTATAAGTTTTCTGAGACTTGATTTATATTTTAGGCAATATAATATTTTTGGGGAACGCACAGTAGCTCTAAGCAAGAAAAGAAAGCTTAGGGAGTGGTACACACCTACTATTATCATGTTGTTAATATTCTTTTAGGTAACTTGGACTTTTTAAGTAAAACAAACTTATAGTATCTTTGGTTCTGAGCATCCTCTTTATACAGCTATTATAAAAAAACACTTAATATATTCCAGCCCTTGATTCTGCTTTTCAAAAGGGTAATTGTGTTTTTCTATCAGCTTTGGTGCTCTATCATGTGTACGCAGACAAACATTTTATAGTTTTTTTGTGACTTCTCAGATTGTGCTATTAGTGCGACACTACTACAAGTAACTGATTATAATATTGAGCGTCCAGTATCCTACTCTTCTATAAATTGTCTATGGATCAGCTCAGTAAGACCTTTTATAACAATGAGCTTTTGGCAGTTTTAGTGGCAAGCCTTCAGTGGCGTTACTAATTTGACACTATTTGTAACCCATATTATATGCACAGATTATATATCCTGCTTTAATATCATTCCCCAAGAGTGCTACTCCACCTCAAACCCATAGGCATGATTCTTTTACCATGTATCCTTCTTCTTAAACTTTTGTGTAAGGTAATAAACATTTTTAGCTGATGCTTTAAGTCAACCCCTAGCCTTGTGACTTGACAAGAAGGAAGTGGCATAATTAAAAGTAAGTATCTTTTAAATTCTAGCCTAAGATCTGAATGAGGTAACCTTTCCTTTAGAAAAGGGCCTGGAATTAGCCACTATGGAACCTATAAAGAATGACTCCTTATACTAGTGAGTGGTTTCTGCACAGCCGCTCTCATCTGACTAATCAAAGATACTGAAGGTTTGTGATGAAAATAACGAAATTATCTTTTGTGGCAATGAACTAATATAAAATGTAGTCTATTATCAAGGGCGTTATTGGGTACATCTAAACCAAAGCTTGAAGTCAATTGTTGCACATTAAAACCTACCTACTGTAAAGTATTCAGGGAAACGAGAACACTTAAAGCTAATTTGGCGCCTGTACAGTTGAAGAGGTAACTCAATACATTTAGCAAGTACATTAAGCAGCGCACGCTTTACAATTTAATAAAGCCAGCAGACTTGCTTATGGGGGTTACCCACTTACAGCGTTCAAGAGGTCATGGATCTTGATTTCTGATGAACTTATAAGAGACTTAACAGTATCCTATAAATACGATGCTTGTTGGTGATTGTATATCTATAAAAATTACACAAATGTATCATTTGTTATCCACAGTCAAAGATGTTCAGATTACTCAATTGTTTATAGCCTCTTGTTCTCAAGGCTTGACGTTTCTATAGATTTATTGTCAATAGAAGACCAGAATTTGTATATTAGATTTAAAAGATCCTATGTAACATCCCAAAGATTTTTTTCATGCCGCTTAGCTGAATACCATCCTGAGTCATATGCGCAATCTAGACGCATCAACCAGTTCATATAACATATCTTTGCTGCTACTTTAACGCTTATTTATTAACTGGGCTCATAGTTTTATACTAACATAGTTAGTTTAAACAATAGCCAACATTCTTCAAGTAAATATTTTCTCTCTTTGCTGATTTAACTATAATACAGAATTTGATATGTGACTATGAAAAATACTAGGTTACAGTAATTTTGTTTCATCTGAATCCGTGAAGGAAACACAAACTAGGTTAGCAGAAAATAGTATGTTGTCATTAAATTTAATAGAAAATGCGGTAGTTAGTGCATGTTTAGCCAGAGTATAATTTTCTATCTGGTTATGATCAATGCAAAGAATATTATGACAAAGAAAAAGTGCCATAAACTAAATCCAAAAAAAACTGGTCCCTTATTTCATCCTGGAAAATATGGCTTGGAGCCTAAATTTCTAATTTTCCCACTGCTCTCTGCACATTTGCCACCTTCTATGAGATTTGACTCAATGCTATGAGAAACTATGCCTGCTACTCCAGACCTTATCTTTTGGATAGTCTTCCTTAACATGAAGTAGAGGACATTATACCCTTATGGAGTTGAGGGAGTTATCTTGAGTAATTAGTATCCCGATAGGGATCCTATTCATAGAAAAAAATTGGTTATGCAAGGGTTTGTAAACATGTATAAAATCTAGTTGAGGCTTTCTGCAACTGTCATCCGGTGGATTCTGGCCTTATGATAACTCAAGAATCTCTTGCTGCTGTGAAACTTCCAAAAGCTCATAAGAATTTTTAATTTCACCCCACATAGTAGCATGTAACCCCAACTAAAAGCAGAAGGTTGTACCCCATCTAGTGACATATTTTTATAGGTGATAACATATGGAAGAATTTACTGCGTGCTCAGTAGTGTATAAAGCTTAAAACTTTTTTCTACTTTAGTTATTAATATTAAATTGATGAAGGCCTACATTGCTTAATCTTTACCTAGTAATATTAGTTCACCGGCAGTTCAAGCCAAGTGTAAGAATCTCCACCAAAACCATAAGGCTCAGCATTACTTAATACCCCATATAAATAGAAGAAGAGAAACGCCCCAAAAGCACTACTTCTGGAAAAGTTAGTGAACTTGGGGCACGCCCTTGATTAATGATGTGTGGCCACCGCTCCCCTAGCTTAGATGCTTTTCAACTTCAGATTAACAGTCACCCCACCCTGAATTATCATTTAATGGGACAATGCCTACAAAGATAACATTGAGAGAATATTCTGCAAGGTTCACAAACAACTCAGTGGATCATGATTGAATCCTCAAGAGGGGCAGAATTACTATGCTCAACCAATTGAAACATTTTTAGATGAACGGATAAATTACTTTCAGATGCGACTTTCAAGAAAACTTTAACTAATGAGATGTCTCTAGAATAGATTAAACCAAAAAATTAATTCTTTGATATCTTGCAAAACTCTAAGTTGATACACCAGTTGAGTCATCTACCGTGTATAATTCTGAAGACTCCAGAGAAATGGTAACCCACAGAAAACTGAATGTAAAAGTTTTTAGCACCCTAGAGAAAATTGATTGTCTCCTACATTTCATAATAATTAACAAGACACCCATCACTTCCCCCACTAATACAAATGCTCGGCACTGTGCCAGTATTAGAGTGCTGGGTTATTTTTTGATCTCTCTATAAATTTCAGATCATTCTTAATCACCTCTTTAATCTATAAAATATATAGTCTGCCCTTTTCAACTAAATTTGGCGTCCAATGTAGGAGCCCCACTTGTTAGTCTGATGATGACAGTGGCCATCTCAGTAGTTTTCTCAGTGCTAG